TTTGATATTTTCGTTTTCTTCTGGTTCTTCAATGGAATCGGGCCTTGAATCTACATTTGTTCGCCCTTGTTCAGTTGAGGTTTGCGTTGTGATATCCTCAACTGAATACTGTAATTGCTATTTTTCTTCATTTCTCGTGCTTGAATCTGCTACGGAGTTAATGTTCCTAGATGTCTGTTGATCTCCACGAATTTGACATATTCCCCACAGTGATGGAAATTTAATGACTTGATGTAAGGTTGAAGGAACAACATCCATCTCGTGGATCCATGGCCTTCCTAGAATTATGTTGTAAGCCATTTCCAGCTCCACTACCTGAAACTTTGTATCTTTGAAAACTCCTTCTGCGAATGTAGTAAGAATTACTTCTCCTTTCGTCACGACGCTGGAATTGTCGAACCCGGACAAAGTATGCGCCTTGAGTACTAATTTGTCTTCAGCATGCATCTCGTGTAGAACTCTTAGCAGAATAATATTCACAGAGCTACCTGGATCAATCAAAACTCGTTTCATATTAGTGTCATGTACAAGTAAAGATATTACCAGTGCGTCGTTATATGGAGTTAATACGCCATCCGCATCTGCATCATCAAACGTAATGCTTTCTTCCTCTAAGACATGTCGCATCCGTTTCCCGTGGGTAATCGTGACTTTGGATACTTTATTTGCTGCTTTATACGTCACACCATTGATTTCTTCACCTCCGCTTATAACATTGACGGTCCTTTTTGGGGAGGGCGGTTTTGGGGGCTCCTGCCTATTCTTCATGTATGATTGCTTTCCTTTCTCGCTGAATAACTCGGTGAGATACCCTTGCTTCAACAGATGATCAACTTCACCCTGTAGTAACCTACAATCTGCCGTTTTATGACCATGATCGTTATGAAATTCACACCAGTGTTCGGGATTGCGCCTGTTTGGGTTTGACCTTATCTCTCTTGGCCACCGCACCTTATCACCCATGCTTCTTAAAACAGCAACGAGCTCGGAAGTGCTTACATTAAAATTATAACCACCGAACCGCGCCTTAAAATTTCTATCATCGTCTCGTGACTCTCGCGTGTTGCGATCATTTCCATACCTGGATGATGAACCCGATTCTCTATTCTAGATCTATGATCGTACCTTGAATGATCATGCTTGGACCGTGAATCTTTTCCAGCTGGGCCCATATATGGTTCGTACCTGTTTTTACCTGATCTTTTTTCTGTTTCCGCCCGTCTTGAACTTACCTTTTCTTCTTTTTGAGATCGTGAGATAATATCTTCCTCGATCCTTAACTTCGTGCTATACCTGTTATAAACGTCATTCCATGTTGTTGCTGGGAATTCTCGAAGACTCTCCTTGAGTCGCCTTGTAGCTTCTGAGCTTTTTTCATTCAAGTTACTTGTGAATGCTATAGCTGCCCAATTGTCAGGTACACGCGGTAATGTCATTCTTTCACGCTGGAATCTGTCTACAAACTCTTTGAGCAATTCTGAGTCCCCTTGCTTGATTTTGAAAATATCCTCCATTCTTTTTTAACTTTCTGAGCTCCGTGCTTTAATAAAAGAATCTGCAAGCTCAGCAAAAAAATTTATAGAATTTTCGGGTAAAAGAGAATACCATGTTAATGCTCCCTTAGTGAGCGTTCCTCCGAATTTTTTGACCAATACTGATTCAATTTCTTGTTTGGTCAAGTCGTTGCCTTTTACGCCAGTTGTGAATGCAGTCACGTGGTCTCGTGGATCAGTTGTTCTATCGTACTTTGGAATATCAGGCATTTTGAATTCCTTTGGAATTGGTAGAGGAGCAGCGCTTGGCTTCCAAGGTTGCTCTGAATATTTATCCATATCTATTCCTTTGATTACAGGCGGTACTCCAGGTATGTGCTCTATGCGGTCACTTTGCTCCTTAAGCTGTTTCTGCAATGTTAGAACTAAATTTTGTAAATCGGAATTGACTACGTTACCTGGTTCTCCCTCTCGTGATTCACTGGGGATTCCACCACTGCCTGAATTAACAAGCCCAGAACGAGGGTTTTCCAAAGTGTTGGTATTTGGAACTGGTGTTGATAGTGCAGCAGGTAATTGGCTGGCAAAAGCCTCAAGAGCTTTATTGACCTGTTGAGCGATCAACTGTTGCAAAGCTTCATTGATAGCTTCATCGTTGTTAAATTGAGTATTTCCATTTGAGTGAGATCCATCAGGAGTTCCTTCTCGAGATCGACGAGGCGAACTTTGTGGAGAAGGGATCGGAGTGTGAACATCTTGTGGATCCCCTTGTAGTTGATGGTTTCCTTGATTTCCTTGGTTTCCTTGGGTGTTGTCGTTAACATTTGACATGATTGTTGATGTAACGAAGTAGGTTAAGTTAAGAAAAAATAGATTATCAGATTCCTGGCAACGGAACCAATTTGTTTAACCAAAAAATGAAATTTCGGTCAAAGCGATAATTTAGAAGAACTCGGGTTACTGATAATAGAATGAATAAAGAATAATTTTGCCAATAATGAGATAACCAGTGTATTCAGATGGTATTTCGTGTCTTTACAATTGATCCATTCTCCCTTTTATAGCTATTTTGGAGATATGCGTTTTGCCTTTTTCATAATAAGGCCATTATAGACAATTAAAGATATTAAATGCTACGTTATATAATCATTGTATTTAATACAGATTCTCTAACGTTTTTAGTATTTAAGGCTCATTAAATACTGTATCTATACTCCTTTGTACTGTCAGGTTCATTCTCCTTAATTCTTGGACTTTAATAGGTACGGGCGCTGAGTCTTTTGAATAACCGCTCGTGCCTCTTTCTAGGCCTCTGCTCGTGTCTGTTGCAACTCGTGCATCTTTGCCAATCATAATTCTTTGACCAATCTACGTGTCATGACACGTCATCCTTATACCACTTTAATATGTAAACTCAAATTTTTCCAATACAATTGAGAAGTGCAACAATTTTGAACAAACATTGTGAGGTTTTACTTTAGTTTAAATGTCTATTAACGAGAACATGTGCTACATTTATACGAAGGATTAACTTATATGCACTCACAGTAATGAAAAGAGTGGAGGTTTTACCATGATTATAAGTGTCTTTTAACTAAAACATTGTGTGCTGCATTTATGCAAAAGAATTTAATTAACTTGTATACACGGACAATTTAAAAGAATTTCGGTGTGTTTTAAGCAGTTGTAGTAGATATACCTGCCTTATTTTTCAGGTGACAAAACATTTAGTTACCTTTAAGTAATCATGCTATTAGTGTATAGTATATGTTAAACCCTTGCGTAAAATATCATTCACTTTAAACTAGATGTTGTAATCTCAAGTGACCGCAACAAGGTTTATAGTCATGTAACACAACAAATTAAAAGATCCATGCAGAAGATGAAAATCAAACTTATGCCGCCTAAATTGCCGTAGATCCAACCGTTTAAACTAAGATATGTAATATATGTATAATCAATGTATAATAAGTATACAACTGCATATAATCAATATATTATTTATGTATACCGGCTAGAAATAAATAATTGATTGTACCGTTATAAAAATATCCATTTTATAAGAACGTACAAGTTGCATGAGCTTCTGAGTCCCTCTCAAAAGCAAAGAACTGAATACTAGAGTTGTTCACCTAAAAACTCCAAATCCTAACACCATCACGTGATCTCATCTCAAATCTTTCTGATAATTAGCTCCAGGGTACCATTAATTGAAGCAGAGGAGCTACCAGTTGGCTAGCCACGGGTTGGGGACAAACCTTGTATAAAACCAAAATTTCTGTATAATTATATGAACACTTGAGACAAATATAACAACAACGCCTTAATCTCAAATAGACTTGTCAGCTATATGAATCCTTATTGACCAGTATCGTCATGAATTGATTAGTTTTATGCTAACTGTCATCTACCGACCCTCCTCCTCTAGCCGGATTTGGACCCGATTATCTGAACGAGCTTTGGCGAAGTTATGAACAATTTAATCCAGACAAATACAAGGACAAATTGTCTTCCCTTATGTGCATTCCTAAAATGTTAGTACTTCAAAAAATGTTGAAGATTGACGTCTACACCCTCTACGTTTTAATTTAACGATATTTCATATATATATATATATATATATATATATATATATATATATATATATATATATATATATATATATATATATATATATATATATTACAATCATTGATTACTAATTCGAATTAAATGATAAGAAACAATCATTGTTGTAAAGAATTTTAACATTGTCACTGTATATAATTAATGCACTCTAGTATCCGCCAAAGTTAGTCTTTTCCTTAACTGATTGATTTAACTTATATACACTAACAACGTAAAAGAATTTGTACATTGTTTCTTAAGTAATTGTTTAACTTATATACATGTAAAGTTATTTATAAACTATCAATGTATTTTAAAATATTGTAGTCGATTACTCGCCTTATTTTTTTGGTTATCATAGATGATGGTTTAACAACGTCAGTATATAAAAGTTACACTCCTAATTAATACGGAAATGGAATGTGAAAAGACATACTTTTTCCGAAAAAGAATTTAGTTTGGGAACAAAGAAAATGAAAAGAGGCGCCGGTTATGAACAGAACATGTGATTCTAAAATCACGGCCTAATCAATCTGTAACACTAGAGAGTACAGACTCTCTTTATTTCCAGGTATAGTTAAACCACTGGGAATAAAAAAACAATAAAAAGAGAATGTGCTTTTAGCTTTAGAAGCATAACGGTTATATATATATATATATATATATATACACACTTTGTAAAACACACCTCTTGGTGAATCTTGGAATTTCATAACTACTCCTTAACAAAAACTACCCCATCACTCTTTACATCTCAGTAATCTTACTTAATCACCTTTCCTTATAACTTTCTTAAATTTTAATTCTATATATTAGTATGGTTCTTGGACTTTATGTAACATGCATGCATATTATAACATGCATTCTTAGAAGAATTTGTACTATAAAAAGTTACGTTGTAGTACCATAAAACCAACCACGCTCTTGTATTTATTGCCTTCACTTCTTCCTTGTCTCCCCACACCTCTTGTTTACCATCTTCATTTCTTTTTCTTATTCTGGCTATCGTGATGAATTTAAGTGATTTTAGCATTTGGGTTGCGATTTTCTTCTTGATTTGTGCTGATATAAGTCTGGCTCAATATTCTTACATTACGTGGGATGATATGAAAGTGGATTTTAGTTCTTTGAGTTTGAAGGATGAACGATCATCTACTTCTCAAAGAGTGATAGTAGTTGATCAGAAAGGTAAAGGAGATTCAATTACTGTACAAGGTGCAGTTGACAAGGTGCCTTTTCATAATTCTCGAAGAGTTATAATTTACATTCATCCCGGAACATACAGGTAATTAATTTTTTTTCCTACGTACTTTATTTGCAACTTTTAAAAGAGCAGTGCACAAAGCATCTTCCATTCATGCAGGGTTTAGGGAAGGGCCACACTCCAGCGGAGTATTGGCTAATTTTGCGGCTCGAACCCGTGACCTATAGGTCACACGGAGATAACTTTATGTTGCTCCAAGTCTTGCTTCAAATTTGCTAACTTTTTCTTGTGATCAATTCCTTTGAGCTTTTGCTAGGATATTAATATTACCCTTAATTTCTTGTCTTTACAAATCTTGAAAGCGTAAGTATTGGTTCCTATATGCAGTTTTTGCAGTGTTATTTTGGCTGGTTTGAAGCCAAATTAAGCTTGAGTACGTGGGTAGTAGAGAAGGTTGACAGTTAATAGAATGGTAGTGGGTTACCCCACCAACCCACTTAACAAAACCACAAAAAAAGAACACACACAAAAAAAAAAAAAAACAATCGTATTTAATCTACAAGAACGTAGTACTCTATATTTCTGTCAGCCCATAACGCAATGGTAGTAGTATCCATTCTATTGAAATTTTGTTTTACGTGTGAATGGCAGAGGCATCCGGTGTCATCACAGGCGGAGCCAAGATTTAAAGTTTATGGGTTCTGAATTTGCAATGGAACCCATAGCTCATTTGTTATTGGGTTTGTGATTAAGTATTTATACATATTTAATAAAATTTTCTAATGAAAATACAATGTCTAAGGAAAAAGCTATTGTGTTCGTTCAAACCCTTAGGTAAAACTCTCCCTCTGCCCCTGGGTGTCATTGGACACCACTTCGTAATATATTGAAAAATAATATTATTAACTGAACTATTTGAAAAGAAACATCATTTTAGATAAGAAGTACAATGTTGAGAACCTTTACAACCCCAGATATACAAGTTGAGTTGCAATAATAAGTTAAAACCACTTAGCCAAGGTTGTGATGTCTGGTTAACGTTAGCTGTCTAATTAATATTGATTGTGAGATGCAGAGAAAAGGTGCATATACCAGCGTCGAAGCCATTCATTTCATTAGTTGGTGATCAAAACCAAACGGCCAGAACCATTATTACTGGGCATGACAAAGCCTCTGACACGGACCAATTTGGGTCTAAGTTAGGCACTTCTCGAACTGCAACTGTTACAGTAGAATCAGATTACTTCTGCGCCACGGGTATCACCATCGAGGTACTAGCTACTTATACAATTAACTAGAGAATGAATGACAATAATGTTTGACTGGACACGGTTACTTTACGATTTCAGAACACCATAGTTCCAGAGCCAGAAGGCGTTGGAATGCAGGCAGTAGCGCTGAGATTAACGGGAGACAGAGCAGTGTTGTATAGAGTAAGGATATTGGGATCACAGGACACACTTTTAGATGATGCTGGATCTCATTATTTTTACCAGTGTTATATTCAAGGATCTGTTGATTTCATTTGTGGCAATGCCAGATCACTTTATAAGGTACTACTAGTCCCTACTAGATGTTACAAAGACTGGTTATTACTTAGACTGAGAGGTCTTTTTTCTTTAATGTTTCAACAGAATTGTACACTTGATTCAGTAGCCAAAGGATATGGAGCAATAGCAGCTCAGCACAGAAACTCAGTATATCAGGATACTGGTTTCTCTTTTGTCAACTGTAAAATAAGTGGAAGTGGCAGAGTGTTTTTGGGCAGGGCTTGGGGAGAGTATTCAAGGGTTATATACTCCAAATGTGATATTGATGGTATTATAGATCCCAAAGGTTGGACCGACTGGAATCTACCGTCTAGGCGCCAGTAAGAACACTTTAATCTCCAAACACACCCTTAGATTCTAATCAGTTTGGAAAAGTTGAGCAGGCCTGAACTTTGTATTTATCTGTGTTTATAGGCATGCAGTATTTGGAGAATACGAGTGCAGGGGAAATGGAGCCAATAGAGCAGGTCGAGTGCCATGGTCCAAGTCTCTCAATGAATCTGAAGCTGAGCCCTTTTTGGATGTAAAGTTCATTGGTGGACAGCAATGGCTCAGACTCTGAATTTCACTACTAATTTTCTCTCCTGTCATGTCAAATGTAAAACAGAACTAAACTGGCTTATGATATGAGCCTCCCACTTTTATAGGTGTGGATCCGAATCCATCACCCTCAATTTTGAAAAGACCACACAAATTGTCACAATGCTTTTACCTTTAAACATTGCGCATTTTTAACATGCAAGGTTCTTAATAAGTAAGCGACTATTACATAGTGTGCAACACACTTGCAGAATAATTCGACTTAATCGTGGCACTAAGATCCATGTTACAGAGATAGTTGAAGATCCTAGTCACTAGAGAGATTCTAATACTAGAGCATCTCCAGGTTCTAACCGGGAAAAAAAAAAAATAAGCATACCGCCTGTACAGCTAAGACACCCAATCCTAACACTACAAGCAAATTTCATTCGCTCTCCATCTTTATGTACAATTAAACAGCACCAGGTACACTTGAAACAAAGTGGTGTATGTTTCGGTGATAATCCCCTCACGCCACCATATTCATAACTTCTGTTTCACATTTTCTCCCATCAACCTCAGGTTCTGATGATTTTTCCCCGTTGCTGTCCTCGTTAATTTCATTGTCAATGTCCATGTTGTAAGAATCATTATCATCGCTAAGGTGGCAGTCTGTGTCGTGCTTGTCATTGCTGCTGCTGCTGTTGTTATTACTATCATTCTCCTTTTCGTTATTTTCAGTTGAATGTTTTTCATCCTCGATCAAGTCCATATCTCTAGAGCCGTTATCAGTTAGTCCCTTTTCTGCAATATCATCTCCTTGCTTCTCATCATTGACACACACCGAATCTTTTGAATGGTCATCGATAGGTCTTGCTTCTGCAAAACCATGGGCTGCTTCTTCATCCACACTAGTTGCATGAATTTTATCATCCATGGGACTAGCGTGCTGGCACTCCGAAGTAATACTTGATAATACAGAAACCTTGGTTTCTTGAATGAAAGAGACCATTGAAAGAATATCATTATTTGTCTCAATATCTACCCATCGATCTCCCACCCAATCCCTTGAGATTCTTAGGTTTTTTCTGTCAATATTCAAAAACATCCTCTCGCCTGATATCAAAGAGGAGAAAAGCTGCATCAATAAAGAAGGTCTATACCCACAGTGAAACAGCTTTAGCAACAATACTGAAAAACAAAAAGCAAAACTCACCGGGAACATAAACTCGATAGGTTTCATTTTCTGATTTGACTGTGTCAACAATTATTCCTTCCCACCAACCATCACTCCACCAAGCATCAACAGGTGCTCCCACGTCAAAGGCAACATCTCTCAGGTCACAAGAACGGAAAGGCCTGATTGTTGGACGGCTTGAGTTTCTCATCCCAAGTTTATCAGGCCTGGCTAGTCTAAATATGGGTATCCATTCCTATCAAACCGATGAAAGTGTAAAATTAATGTTCGTTTTTTAAAATGTAACAAAATAAAATTTGTAGTTTCTTCTTGGTCAAGAATGATATAATTAATATTTTTACTCTTAGTTAAAGTTTTTAACATGTAGTGAAAGAGCTGTGAAAAGATGCTGGGTCATACCTCAAGGTTTCCGCATCCATCTTCATCCTTAATATCATCATACCTTATCTTCATCTGTCTCCGAGATACTTCCAAAACTGTGCATCTGAACCAGCACCCTCGGATTCCACTATCTTGGCTCAGACATTCAATCTTCTCATTAACCACAAAATTAGGAGTATACCAAAGCTCGCCTCCAACATGCTTATTAGAGTTAAATCTCCTACTTAAGAAACCATTCCTTAACTTCTTGTAGGACTCTTCATATGTTGTCATCTGATGCTCCTTATATTTCTTTCTTGGCCTTTTAGCTCCAATTTTCGTATCATCCTTAGCACTAAACTCCTCGTCTTCAAAGAAATCTGGACTGAAACATGAGAAAATTGATTGATCAAGGTAGCCGCGCATTTTACCTAATTCAAAAGGTTTTACTCTGTTGCCCTTAAATTGTCTGAAGCAGAAATGTACTCTTGTTAGCAAGTCATTGGGGAAAACAGCTACACACTTCTCATAATGTTCCCGAGTTAAGACAATTGCCGGACCATCTACACACTCTGCACTAATGACCTGGGCATAAGGAGTGATGAAAACCTCTCTAGGGTGAGGATTTCTTAAAGAGATAACCCCTCTGACTTCCCTATTAAAGTGGAACCATCTCACTTTGACTTTTTTCTGGCCCTTCCGGTCCTCATACATGTCTTCAAGATATGCAAGGTAGTGATTTTCCTTTTCAGCCATGACAAAGACAAATGCGTGTACCTGGAACATGGAAAAGAAACAGACTAACAGCTGTAAACTAAGAAATATGCATGCAAAGGTAAAGGGCATACCATTACGGCATTACCAAATGGCATACACTTGAAAAGGTTCATTTGGTATTTTACTTGTTTCAGGAGCTTTAGATTGCAATCTATGTACAAGGCTCAAACCAGATATGCATGAGAAGGAATAGGAAGGTACAACAGACGAAGCAAAGCTTTGACTTATGGCAGTCAAGAGGACATTTTGAAGCGTAGAAGCACAAAATCAGTTACTATTTGATATTTCCACTTGTATCAGAACCTAAGTTGCTCCGACACGGGTGCGGATCTAGAGGTCAGATCCTTCGAAAAGTAAATTCTAAGATTCGGGAATATGGATCCTAGCACGGATACGGGTGCAGGGATCCGGCTAAAAATAATTTTAAAAAAAATAAAAAAAATCTCTAAATTATGAGAAATTTTGTGGAACACTTACGTATAGCATGTAAAGTGTGGATTTCTTTTTTATTCTCAAGTTGTAGATAAATAAAGGATTGATTTCCTAGAAAAGGTACTCTAGTTTTGGTTCTGATTTTCGTAATCAAATTATATCTCGTCTCGAATTTTTCCTTCCGTCGTGGTCAAAGTACCCAAAATTGTTTGACCAGATCTGGTACGGATCCCATACCCACACCCATACTAGTGTCGTGTAGACACAGGTGCGGCACCTAATCTGCCGTGTTGGAGCAACTTAGATCAGAACTTAGAGCTAAATGACAATCTCCGTATAAGCGCTAGCCCTGCATCATCTCCATACATTTCGATGCTTCTGTGCAGTTCGCAATTTGTCAGCACTAAAATTAGAGGGAATAAATAAATTTTATTGCCTCTTTGGGATAACAGCATAAAAGCTTGTTTTTTGTCCCTTTCAAGTTGGGAACTGCCAATGTTCTCAACAAGCTTAATACTTGGTCCATGAACAACAAAATTAACTTTGTTTGGAAGGCATATATATACTTTGAATCTTTGATATACTATATTTTATCATTCGTCTCAACTCTTTCACTTGAATAAGTTTGCTCAGCTTCTAAGAAATTTAGGGTGAAACATCTAAAGCATTTCAAGTGGAAAACTCATTAAAAGCGATTCCTCTTATTGTCAATCCAGGAAACTTACTGCAATAGTAATCCCATTCCGGCAAAATGTTGGGTAGTGTTTGAGCTGTTTATTGCATATCCATGGTTCACCTGACCAAACAATGTCGGAAGAATGTACTCTCAAGTTTCTTGTTATAGAACCCTGTCATAAAAGATCAGTCAGAAATCTCAAACAGCAACGAGAAGACGCGTTAGTGCTGCAAGAAAGGTGTACCTTGTTGCTTGCCATATCTGTTGGTTGGACACTGAATGCAGACATATGATCATCTTTTGGTGATTCTGCCATTACATGGAACGTATGTTAAGCTTCTGTTTTCCCTTTACAATCCATATTCACAAGACAGCATTGCATGCAAATGTGTTTTTCTTTAAACATTCAGTAACTTAAAAGTCATTAATATCAAATGAAAAGCATATGCAGCGGATATTCCATTAATATTCAGACGACATGGCAGAATGTCCTAAAGTCCATCCATCACAAAGAAGGAAAACATTATAGAAAATCATAGATATCCGAATGCTTTACTGCATAAAAAAAAATAACACAAAGAACTCCATTCGTCACATTTTTATGGAACTTATGTGATGAGATTGTTGTAGAAAAAGTCAAAAGCAATAAAGCAATGAAATATTTCCCCATCTTCTTCTTTTGCTAAAGAAAACATTTTCTCAGTTCTAATTTCCTGAATCTAAATTGATCTTACCTCTTAGGCAAACTATTTATGGTAAAAAATCAATTAGACAAACTTGTACAATAGATCCACCACATAATGTATAGCTAGTTGGCATATGTCCTTCATTATTCTAAATAGAATTTGACAGTACTTACTCAAAAAATCACTTTGTAAGTGCTGTTTTGATAGCATAGAGGTGAGCCAATTAACAACTTCTCTCCTTGACCTCCATCTGAAGCCAGCACAGACAGAGTTCTCACCAGCATAAGCTTTCAAGAACTCGTCAGAGACGACATAGAACATGTGCCTAACACTTCTTTCAGTGCCCACAACAGCAAGAATGGACTCCCCTGAAATATCCTTCAAGAAATAGTGAACCACACGATGTCCCCTCTCTTTCGAAACAAATTGCTCCTTCCATTCAACAAAGCAGTGATCATTGCTACCCATCTTTAGAATACAACCCAAGAAATCAGATCTTTGCAACTCTAAAGCACCATAACAAGCTCACAGAAACCCTAATTCGTAAAATCTTGAAGCACTGTGCTCTGTGCCTAAACTAAACCCCCAAAATTGTCAAAAAGTAACCCAAAACCCCTCAATTGCTACCTCGAAAGGATGATCAGTTCAGAAAAAGGCACAATCTTGATAATCTACTACTATGCCTCAACCCCACCATAAATTAGCTTGTGGGAACTCAAATAAAAACTGGGTATGTAACAAAGCTCTGAACCAATACCCCACAACAAAGATCTGTGATGAATTAGACACAAAAATCAAAACTTTAAGGGTTTGGAGTCACAAAACCCCATATGACCTGAAGGGGTTTTTGCTGAAGAAAGAACAAAACAACCCAACAAGTGAAATAGGCATCAATTCTTGAAATAAAAGAGAGAAAAGTTAGAAAAAGAAGTTGGGTCCAAACTCCTTGGAGGGTCTCTAGGTGATTCTGGTCAAATGTTAGAGAGGAAAAGATTCTGGTTTAGCTTGGAACTGTACAAGGAATGTCCAATGAAGAG